ACCCCCCCCAAATCCCCCCCCTGAGCTCCTCTGAGCCCTGCACGAACCCAAAAGGCTGCTCGGGAAATGGAGCGCAGCGCCCGATTCAAACTCCCGCGGCTCCCCTCGGCTGTGAGCCTTGGTGGGGCCCCGCAGTTTAGGGTTCAGGGTTGAGGGTTAGGGTTTAGGGTTTAGGGTTTTAGGGTTTGGGGTTTAGGGTAGTTCAGGGTTTTAAGGGGAATGTGGGACTTGTAGTTTTTCGGGGGCATAGGACTACGAGGGTTTACTGGCAAATTAGCGGAAATGTGGGGCTTACAGGCTTTGCAGTTTTGGTTTCAAGGTTCTCGATCAAGCCGGTGTTCCCTAGCCCTAACACCCTTAGAAAACCCTAAAAAACCTTATAAAACCCTGAAACCCCTCAAGCCCCTAAACCCAACACAACCCTAAAGCCCCTCAAACCCCCAAGGCCCTAAACCCTAAATCCTACACCCTAAACCCTAAGTCCCCGAACCCGCCTAAGCCCCCTAAGCCCTCGAAGCCTCCTCAGCCCCCTAAGCCCCCGCCCCCTAAGCCCCCGAACCCCCTAAGCCCCCCCCTAAGCCCCCTAAGCCCCTAAGCCCCCCCAAAACCCCCTAATCGCAAACCCCCTAAGCTCCCTAAGCTCCCAAGCCCCGAATCAGAGAGTTCCCGGAAGGTGCGGTTGGGTCCCGCGCCCATCCTGGCAGTACACCCATGGGTGCCACAGCTGCGTAGAGTCGTTGTTTTTTTGGGGGGTGTTAGGGTTCAGGGCTTACTGTAGGGCTTAGGGTTTACGGGTTCAGGGTGTAGGGGTTGAGGGGTTTAGGGTTGAGGGGTTTAGGGGCTGAGGGGTTTCGGGTTTGGGGGTTGGGGGTTTAGTTTTAGTTTTAGTTTATTTTGTTATTATTATTTTTTTTTCTTTTGGGGGGGGGGGGGGGGGGGGGGGGGGCGAAGGGGAATTTCAGGGTTGTGGGTTTGGGGTTTGGGGCTTTCGGGGGGTTGTCGGGGTTTTGGGACAGACCCTGAAACCCGAAGCCCAAAAGCCCTCCAACAACCTGTTCCTGGGCTCCATGCGCGTAAGGCAATTGAGGGTTGACGGTTGAGGGTTGAGGGGTGAGGGCTAGGTTTAGGGTTTAGGGTTGAGGGTTTAGGGTTTAGGGTTTAGGTCTTAGGGTTTAAGGTGTAGGGCTTGACGAAAACCTCAACCCCAAACCTTTCTGAGGGCTTCGGGATTGACAAGCAGGTGCGGCGGTTGCTCCACGGACGGCACCTCTGATCCAAGCGACACGGCTGCTGGATGCGCCAACTGGTGCGGCTGGGTGCCGGAAAATTCTTGGGAGCGGCCTGGCTGACATAGCAGCTGGCCCTAAACCCTGAACCCTAGTGTTTATAAACCCTAAACCCTAAACCCTAAACCCTAAACCCTAAGCCCTAAACCCTAAACCCTAAACCCTAAACCCGATATGTCGGTTCGGGCTTTAGGGTCGCGGGTTTCGGAAGGATTGGCCCAAGACCCTCAACTGGGTTCTTGACCGACGAGGGCTGTTGGATCTCAGCCACACAGAGCATAGTGTTTAGGGTGTATATTATGGGGTTTAGGGTGTATAGGGTATAGGGTATAGGGTTTAGGGTTTAGGGTTTAGGGTGTATGGGGTTTAGGGTTTAGGGTTCAGGCCTGGGCGCCTGAAGTGTTGATCATTCGGTTCACTTGGGCCCGGACACCACGCCTATCTGTACTGTGAAAGTGGAAGGCCTAGCATGTCTGCCCATTAACCCCGAACCCTACCTACCTGAACCCTAAACCCTAAACCCTAAACCCTAAACCCTAAACCCTACACCCTAAACCCTAAACCCTAAACCCTAAACCCTAAACCCTTAACCCTAAACCCTAAACCCTAAACCCTAAACCCCAAACCCTAAACCCTAAACCCCCACTCCCTTAAGCCCGTAAGATCCTGACCTCCAGCCGGTGGTGATGATGCCCTTCAACCTGTCAAAGCCCAAGTTCGGGGCTCAGGTTCTTTTTTTTTTTGTGGGGTGGTGGGGGTGGTGGGGGGGTGGGGGGGGGTTGGATGGGTTTGAGTTTAACCTGAACACCTTAAACCCCTGCAATTCCTAAACCTGCAAGGTCTAGGCCCCAAGCCCTACGCAACGAACCCCGAAGCTCTCAGCAAGGTTGACGCCCATGTGCAAGCGCTGCGCCACGCGTCAGCCTGAGATTGCCCCTGCCCCTGACAACGGGACGCTGGCGAACCAAGCCGCCAGGCATGCAGCTGTAGGCTACAGCGGTTTGGGGTTGAGGGGTCTAGGGGTTTGCAGCTTAGAGGTCAGGGGCTTTAAGGGCTTAGGGGTGTGGGGGTTTAGAGGTCTAGGCTAGGGGTCTAGGGTTCAAGGGTAGTGGGTGGAAATTGGGGTTGTTGGGGTAGGGCCGGTACTGTTCCCGTTGCATAGGGCAGTGAGAGAAGACGAAGCGGCTCAGCACTCACTCAACGCTCAACCCTACACCCCAACACCGGAACACTCTGAACCCTACACCTTGAAACCCCTAAGCCCTAAACCCGCCACTTCTCTCACACCTCTGTCGGGTAGGCGAGCGCTCAGGAGATCACGCAGGCACACCCCAGAGATCTTTCTCACCTGGATTAAGGTCAATATCCTTTTCTAGGACCGGGAGTGGGCCCTTTTTTCTCCTTTTTGTAGGGTTGGGGTTCCCTTATAATCCCCTTAGAACCAAAAAGGGTGCACTTTTTATTCCTAGGTTATTCCCGGGTCTAGTTTTAGTTTGAACATACGCTCTTCCTGGCCAAGTCATGCGCCTCGGAGACATTCCAAGTCCCTGCTGTTACACTTTCTACAAAGTGGAAACAGTTCCGGACAGGCACTGAAGGCCCAAATGAAGGAGCTCAGCAAGGGGCCGTGGGACAGGGGGTAGTAGCCCTAAACCCCTAAACCCTAAACCCCCCTAAACCCCCTGAACCCTAAAACCCAAGATCGAGAAGCTCCCGGAAGATGAGGAAGAAGGCGGCAAGGCGCACGCGGGCATGTTGCCCCCTCACAGCCGAAGGTGGCCTTGGGTTGGGCATGTCTTCGGTTTAGGGTTAGGGTTTAGGGTTTAGGGTTTAGGGTTTAGGGTTGAGGGTTTAGGGTATCGCGTTCAGCTGACCAGTGCTGCGCCCTAAGCAGTAAAACAAGTGGAGGGAGTCTGCCGGTCGTTGGCTCACTCCGTGTCCCGTTTTCGCCTGCGGAAGGCCATGGCCCTCAACCCTCAAACCCCGAACCTTACAGCCCTAAAACCCTAACCCTCAATGTCTAAGCACTCGACCCTAAACCCTAAACCCTAAACCCTAAACCCTAAACCCTAAACCCTAAACCCTAAGCCCTAAGCCCTAAGCCCTAAGCCCTAAACCCTAACCTAAACCCCTCAAACCTAAATACTGGACCCTAAACCCTAAACCCTCAGCCCTAAGCCCTAAGCCCTAAGCCCGAAACCCTAAACCCTAAACCCGAAACCCTAAACCCTAAACCCTAAACCCTACACCCAAAAAACCCAAAACCCTAAACCCTAAACCCTATAACCCCGAAACCCCGAAACCCCAAAGCTTCCATAGCCCAGGTGCAGAGCGCGCCGAACGCCAGCAAGGTGAACTCCACAGCCAACGAGCCCGGGTCTCCGGCGGGCCCTTACAGCGGAGGAGCCTCGGTCGGCTTTTAATCAAGGCTTTGGCTTTGGGTGTGGGGTTTAGGGGTTTAGGGTTTAGGGTTTAGGGTTTAGGGTTTAGGGTTTAGGGTTTAGGGTTTAGGGTTTAGGGTTTCCCCAAAATCCTGAGCCCTAAGTCCCGAACCCAAGAACGGTTGAGGATGCTAGGCTCCGCGTTATCATACAAGCCCCTGCACTTTGCCTTGCACTTAAAGCCCTAAACCCTAAAGTCCGAAACCCTATAGACCCTAAACCCCTGACCCCGAACCCTTGCCCTCTCCCCCTTCAAGGGGGGACCAGAAATTGAGAGAAGTGCCCCCAACTTCTGGAGTTTAGTCACTCCGAGGCTTCGTCTTCCAACCTAGGAACCCGTGTCCTGGGCGGCTTAGGGCTTAGAGGTTTAGGGTTTAGGGTTTAGGGTTTGCGGTTATTTATAGAGTTTTGGGTTGGGTTAGGCTTTTCGGGTTTTAGCCTTAGGGTTTAGTGACCCCAATAGCCCAAGACAGGGACCCTATATGGCCCTAAACGCTCAACCCTAAACCCAAGACGCGGACCCTTTGATCGTATGACGCCGATGATCCTTTTTTTCTCAGCTGGAAGCAGTGTGGAAGTGGTGCGGGGTTCACAGGCCTCGAGGGCTCAAGGCTTAAAAAGGCCTAGGTTTTTTCTTCGTGTTTAGGGTTCGTTTAGGGTCTTAGGGTCGTAGGGGGCTTAGGGTGTAAGGGTTCTGGGAGGGCACCGGGAGATCTTGGGTGAAGCGGATCCAGGGTCTGTTGGGGGGTTTAGGGTTTAGGGTTTAGCGTCAATCTTCGTGCAAGGATGTGCCAGCTGGTGCGAGCACGTGCCCCGCACATCATGGCAGTACAACTCCGGCTGTGCCGGTTGTTTCTGAATAACCACAGCGTTCCCTAAGAAGATGGACTCTCTCTTAAAGGGATTATCCGTTAGAGAATCTTGCCCAGAAGTGTGCGGATTCTGCTTAGTGATCTGCCCCAGTGACGAGGAGCACTCGTCTCACGTTGCGAGGCGATTCAAATTCATGCTTGTCCTTATTTCATCAGCCCTACACCCCTAAGACAGTGCACCCTAAGCCCAACGCTTGATTTTAAAATTATTCGTGGCCACAAGCGCCGCTTGACCGTTGCCACCGAAGGATGTGCGCGTCCCAAACGCCCAGTGCAGCAGCAAAATGCGCCGAGGGACGTAGAGAACCCCAAACCCTAAACCCTAAACCCTAAACCCTAAACCCTAAACCCTAAACCCTAAACCCTAAGCCCTAAGCCCCAAGACCCCCACGAAGCGGCAGGCACTTCTGCTTTGCCCCGGGTCCTGGCGCTCGCTGGCCTGGACGGCTTCGCGAAGCGCGCTTCAGGTGCTGCTTACGGTTAAGCCCTAAACCATAAACCCTAAACCCTAAACCCTAAACACTCCAAACCCCAAGCACTCCAAACCCTAAACCCTACACCCTAGACCCTAAACCCCAAACCCTAAATCCTAAACCCCAAGCCCTAAACCCTAAACCCTTACCACCGAAAGCCCTAAGCCTTGGAAGATATAGGGGCATTGCCAGTTCGGCTGCGACACCCTCCCCTTGGTAGCCCGGACTTTCTCCTGCGTGCATGCGACACGTTGCCGTCAACCCGAACCTGTTCATTAGGGTTTAGGGTTTAGGGTTTCGGGTTTAGGGTTGGGGCTTTTCCTCGATTAAGACTCGTACCCCGGAGGTTGTACCCCTAAAGGTTCCCCTTCATATAATCCTAATGTGGCCCTTATACTACCTCAAGGATCTTTGGAAAAGGTCACTAAAACCCAAGGGTACAATCCTTCAGGGTCCAAGGTACAACCCCTAGATTTACGGCCACGAGTCATCCCACTGTAGGTCATGTATGTTGTTGGGGTCGGCACCTAAAACTTCATCTCTCCCGCTTCCCCAGCACAGATGTCTGGATCAAAGCTCGATCATCCCCCACAATCCCTTCCCAGACGATCCTTGTTTTTGTGGCTCGAAACCTAAACCCTAAACCCCATAAACCTTAATCCCTAGACCCTACACTGCACCGCGCGATAAAGACCCGAGCCGCTCAATCCCCGAACTCCTAAAACTCCAGAGGCCTGAAGCCCCGAAGCCCCAAGACCCTTCAAAACGCGGCCCCCCTTTTGGGTGCCCAGAAGACGTAGCAGGGCCGATGCTATAAAAGGCACCCAAAGGAGGGACGTTAGCTCAGAGAACCTCTTGCTCAGGAGGGCCTCTACCCAGGCTCGTCCGAGAGGTCTTGGCGCGGCTCCTGGCGGCGTTGCGGAAGGACTGCGGCCGCGGGCTTGCAGAGTTTTTGCAGCATGGGTTTCGGGGTGTTGGCGGCTAAGTGTGTTTTTTTTTGGGGGCTTTTGTTCGGGGTCAAGGGGTTTATGGGTGCCTCAACCCTAAACCCTCAACCCCAATGGCAGGGCCTCCACTTTCCCTGCTACTGGGGTGTGGATCCCTTGTACACCCTTTGAAAGCAAGAACGGGTCTTTTCCCTAAACCCTAAGCCCTAAGCGGCCCTAATCCCCAGACGCCCCTAAACCCTAAGCCCCCTGAACCCTAAACCCTAAACCCTAAACCCTAAACCCTAAACCCTAAACCCTAAACCCTAAACCCTAAACCCTAAACCCTAAACCCTAAACCCTAAACCCTAAACCCCAAATCCCGATCGCACAGTCCTTTGCCGCAAGGAGCTCCAGACCATCATCGAGAGGCAGGGCTGAAGTCAGTTGCAGCTAGAGGGGTCCCATGCCCGGCCTTGGGTTCGGGAATGGGTTTAGGGTTTAGGGTTTAGGGTTTAGGGTTTAGGGTTTAGGGTTTAGGGTTTAGGGTTTAGGGTTTAGGGTTTAAGGTTTAGGGTTTAGGGCTGCTTAGCCCAGGCTTTCTCCCTGCACGCTCACCCTGACCCCCCCCCCCCTTGTACAGAAGCGTGCGGTTCGAGAGCGTTAGCCCCAAACCTTACAGGTAGTGGTTGGGTGGTTGCCTGTGATGGCTCTAGGGTGTAGGGTTTAGGGTTAAGGGTTAAGGGTTTAGGGTTAAGGGTTTAGGGTTAAGGGTTTAGGGTTCATTGAGAACATCGATTCGACGAATGTTGATCGACGCGGCATGCGCCATCAGCCAGACGGCTGGGAGTGAGAGTTTCTCCCATTGCATGATTTTCAGCCGCCTGCGCAAGAAGATACCCAAAGCTTGAAAGCCTAACCCTAGCTGAACCCTCCACGGAGCGGCAGCCTTAATTCGGTTCAAGGATGTGTTGGTTGTGGCGACGGGGTTTGGTTCCAGTTTGCGAGGTTTAGGGTTCGGGGATATAGGGTTTAGGGGTTCAGGGTTTAGGGTCCAAACCCCACCTAGAGCATTTTCAAGTGAAGAGGCCGGCGGGCGCCAACAAGCCGCTCACACCAATGCCCCTCAGCGAGCCTCGGCGTGCCAGAAGAGGGTTCGGTTGAAGCTTTGAAAGGCTTTTAAGACAGGGCTTCAATGCTAGAACTGAGGTCCTAGAGCGCAGGCCTTTTCGTGGTGCCCTCACAACAACTGTAAGTTTGTGACCAGAAGATCTGTGTCGATATTGCTTCGGAGACAGCATCGTTGTTTCGACGCTTCATGTTCTTTTCCGCGTATTGCCTGATAGTATTTCAAGTTCCCGGTGCAGTTTTTGCAACACATCATGCTAACAGGGTCTCAGGCCTCTTCTTAGCTGGAGAAAGCTCACCTGTTCGGCATGGCTGCTCGAGAGTGGTGCTTGGGGTGAGGGAGTGAACCGATCCGTCCGATATTTCACTGTTTTTTGCACCTGTCAAACAAACACAGGACATTCCTTTGTAGGTCCTTAGCGAAGCACTATGGAGTTGCAAGTGTGCTCATGCGAGGGGTTGATTTATATGATATACTGTTGCTGGCCCCTACCTAACCTCTAACCCTGTAACCCTAACCGCAAAACCCTAAACCCTAAGTCCTAACCCCCAACCCCCAACCCCTAACCCCTAACCCCGAACCCCTGACCCCTGACCCCCTAACCCCCTACCCCAGTAACCCTAAACCCTAACCCTAAGTCCTAACCCAACTCTGGAAACGTGCCCAGAATCGGATCCATTTATAACCTCCTTAAAGGACTTAGGGGGGCTTGGGGGACTCAGGGGACGTAGGGGACTCAGTAGGGGGGCTTAGAAGGACAGTGATAATTGGGGTTAGAAGTGGGTTTGTTGCCGGGGCCAAAGGCGCAGCACCGTCTGCAGCTGCGCGGTTGGCAGGCCGCGAAGCTCGGAGGGCTCAGGGTTTAGGGTTTAGGGTTTAGGGTTTAGGGTTTAGGGTATTGAAGGTTTCGGGTTTAGGGTGTTAGGGTTTTTGGGCATAGGGTTTAGCCTTGTGCTCGGAGTTTGCGAGCTGCGAGAAGAGATGCCAGTATTGCTTGGGGGTTCAGGGCACTTCGAACCGCAATTATCACTGTACTTCTAAGCCCCCCTAAGTCCCCCAAGTCCCTCAAGTCCCCTAAGTCCGTCCCCTAAGGAGGTTATAAGCAGACTTATAATTGGGGATATAAGCACCCATGACCCTCCAAGTGGTGCTAGTAGTCCTATTGCCATGATTCAGTGCCTACTATTGTAGTAGTATCATGACTATGGTCTTTCGCTCTTCATATTTTTTGTTTACTGGTGTGGGTTGGGATGTTCCCCCGCTTAGACGAGCAGTCCGTCAATAGGATTTTTACAGGGGTGTACAAGAATCCCCATGAAGGACTACTAATCCTAAACCCTAAACCCTAAACCCTAAACCCTAAACCCTAAACCCTAAACCCTAAACCCTAAACCCTAAACCCTAAACCCTAAACCCTAAACCCTAAACCCTAAACCCTAAACCCTAAACCCTGGCGGCGCCCCCAATTAAGCCAGGGAATCGGACCGAGTTTCTGCTTCTTTGGGGGGGGGGGGGGGGTCGGTCGTCAGTCATGTCGTGGGCCCTTGTTGGTATGCGCCTCTGACCCTAAACCCTAAACCCCTAAACCCCTAAACCCCTAAACCCCTAGACCCTAGACCCTAAACCCTAAACCCTAAACCCTAAACCCTAAACCCTAGACCCTAGACTCTAGACCCTAAACCGTAAACCCCAAAGCCTCAACCCCAAAAGGGGCGCATCCTTCAGCTCAACCCGCAGAGCCGCCTTGGAGAATCTTCTTTGCGGTCAGACCGATCAGCAGATATCGACAGCCAAACCCCCAGAATAAGCGACCATTGAGGGTTTAGGGTTTAGGGTTTAGGGTTTAGGGCTTAGGGCTTAGGGCTTAGGGTTTAGGTCTTGAAGCTGGAGGGGGGGTCTTTCGTTATTATTATTATTTGTTCTCTCTCTCTCTCTCTCTCTGTCTCTTTTCTTTTTCTGTGTGTATGTGTGTGTGTGTGTGCTTTGTTTTTCGAGGGGGGGGGTCTCCCTTGGCACATGACTGCATCCTCTGCGGCTGGACACATCAGAAGAAGGGCCCTCTGCCCTAAACCCTAAACCCTAAACCCTGAACCCTAAACCCTAAACCCTAAACCCTAAACCCTAAACCCTAAACTCTAAACCCTAAACCCTAAACCCTAAACCCTAAACCCTAAACCCTAAACCCTACACAAAAGGCTTCAACCTGCCGCCCCAAAATCTGGGGCGCCCGAGCCCAGGTAGTAGGCTCCCTAAACCCTGGCCAGGCAGTGCTGGTCTTGGGCTGCCACGCAGACCGCGCGACCGCAGAGGAGCTCCTGCTAGAGCTCTTCTGGCACCTCAGGACGGGGGAGCCGGGTTTAGGGTTTAGGGTTTAGGGTTAGAGGATTTGGTGCTTGAGGGTTTTTGGGGCCTGGAGACATGGGGGGTGGGTGGGTGGGGGGGTTTTGGCTCCTGGGTGTTTCAGGTGGGTGTTGCGCGCAGGGTATCAAGGCATGACCCTAAGGTTGCACTCCGAAAGGTTCCCCTAAACCCTCAACCCTCAACCCTCAACCCTCAACCCTCAACCCTCAACCCTCAACCCTCAACCCTCAACCCTCAACCCTCAACCCTCAACCCTCAACCCTCAACCCTCAACCCTAAACCCTAAACCCTACACACTAAACCCCAGAATGGCCCCTACATGTGAGGATCTTGCTTGGGTTCAGGGGACTTCGGCAGGGCCGAAGGAAAAAAACCTTAAGCCATAAGCTCTTAGGGCTAAGGTGTGGAGGGTTTGCCTATGTTTTCGTGCCCAGTTTAGGGGTAGGGCGGCCTGCGATTTAGGGTTTAGGGTTAGGGTTTAGGGTTTAGGGTTTAGGGTTTAGGGTTTAGGGTTTAGGGTTTAGGGTTTAGGGTTTAGGGTTTAGGGTTTAGGGTTTAGGGTTTAGGGGAGGACACCTCACCTTCCGGACGTCCGCCCGGGGCTCCCAGCATCCAAGAGCTGTGGGAGGGCTTAAGGTGAGGCTTGGTGTGACACTTAGTTTTTTTTTTTTTTTTTTGGGGGGGGGGGGGGGTGTAGGGTTTAGGGTTTAGGGTTTCGGGCTAGGGTTGAGGGTTTAGGGTTTAGGGTTTCGGGTTTAGGGTTTCGGGTTTAGGGTTTAGGGTTTGGGGTGTAGGGTTTGGTGGTTGATCAGAATCAGGTGGCCCAAAAATCCATTGTTCTGGTAGATTTTCACATTTTTTGGGTGCCAGAATGGCCCAGAATCTGCATCCCCCCCCCCCCCCCCCCTCTCCCAGTTCCCAACATACACCCCAACAGCCCTACTTAGAGCCCTATCCACCTGAACCCTAAAGAGTCCCAAGCCTTGACGCCCGTGAACACTAGAGCCCTAAACCCGTGAGCCCTAAATCCTCAACCTTAAACCCAAAAATCTCAAACCCAAAAACCCTGAAACACAAAAAACCCTAAAACCCTCAAGCCCTAATCCTGAGCCCTAAGCCCGAAAACAAACCCGAAATCCCTGAAACCCAAAAACACGTAAAACCCTCAAACCCTGATCCTGAACCCTAAGCCGCAAGCTTCGCCGAAGCCTCAGGCGACTACCAGGAACTGCTCGGCTGCGTGCTCTGCGCCCGCTTCGAGGAGCTTGGGTAGAAGGTTTAGGGTTTAGGGTCTAGGGTCTAGGGTCTAGGGTTTAGGGTCTAGGGTTTAGGGTTTAGGGTTGCGGGTTGAGGGTTGAGGGTTTAGGGTTCAGGTGTGGCTTGGGGTTTGTTAACAAACCAAAAAACCTAGACGTGCAGGGCTTCTTTAGTGTGCGTGTTCAGGGTTTGGGGTTCTGGATAGGGACCATGAAAAGGTGCCCTAGGCACTTGTGTTTCCGGCAAAAAGGCATAGCTTGGGTCGTTAGGCCTTCAACTTTGAGCCATAAACCCAGGACCTCGCGGTGAAACCACAATTGGTTCCTGCACTACAGGTCTACGACTGCCCCTGGGCTGCATCTTTGCTGTGGGTTTGGCATTTGGGGGCTTCAATACTAACCCTAAACCCTAAACCCTAAACCCTAAACCCTAAACCCTAAACCCTAAACCCTAAACCCTAAACCCTAAACCCTAAACCCTAAACCCTAAACCCTAAACCCTAAACCCTAAACCCGCCCGCCCCCCCTCATAGCTCATTGGGGTAGGCGGGCGCAGTCGAGCGCTCAGCGAGACCAGGGCAGGCTCTGCTGGGCTGCAGAGCCTGCCAACCGCACCCCTGAGGGGTCGCCAAGCTAGAGTCGCCTAGCATAGTCCCTTTTAGATATATTATAACCCTAAAACCCTGGGGGGGCATCCTTTGCCTGGCCCTGGCCCGAGCCCTGGTTCTGGCCCTGGCCCTGGCCCTGGCCCTGCCCTGGCCCTGCCTGGCCCTGGCCCTGGCCCTGGCCCTCTGGCCCTGGCCCTGGCCCTGGCCCTGGCCCTGGCCCTGGCCCTGGCCCTGGCCCTGGCCCTGGTGCTGGCCCTGTCCTGGCCCTGGCCCTGCCTGACGGCCCCGGCCCTGCCCTTGGCCTTGGCACTGCCACCCTTCCCTTCTACACCACTGCCCTGACCCTGACCGGTTTGGCCTCCCTGGCCGTCCTCCCTGGCCGCCCTGCTGCTTCCCTGCAGCCTGGGCTCTGACGGCTCGCTGCCCTCCCTTGGCCCCTGACCTCCCTGCCTCCCTGGCCTCCCTGGCCTAGCCTCCCTGGCTGCTTCCCTGGAGCGCGCCAGACCAGGACACCCGACACTTCGAAGCCCAGACATCCCCTTCGCAACAACCAGTGCTGCCCCAAGCTGCAACCAAGCTACAACCTATTCACGCCTGAGTTTTTCTATGAGAGGGCCCTTCGGCCCAGACCGTCCCCTTCGCAAAAACCTGAAAGGGGCATCCTTTGCCTTGTGAGGCTCCTTCGGCCGCAAATGTCCCAAGCACTCTCAATCTTCCAACCGAAGCGTCCTCTGAACTGTTCGATGTTTGAGTTGTGAATGGTTGGCTTGGCTTGGGCTGGCTCCGGTTTGGTTTCGCAGTGAGTTGTGATTGGGTGGCCTTGGGGTGGGCATGTCTTCACACAACTGCGTACAGCTGACCCGTGCTACACCCTAAACCCTAAACCCTAAACCCTAAACCCTAAACCCTAAACCCTAAACCCTAAACCCTAAACCCTAAACCCTAAACCCTAAACCCTAAACCCTAAACCCTTGGAGGCTTTCGGGGTTCTTGTTTGTGGTTTGGGGTTTGGCGTTCAGGACTTGGAGGTTTAGGCAAAAAACCCTAAACAGCTAACGACTCGACCAAACCAAACCGCCGGGATGCCACACCCTAACAACTAAGGGTTTAGGGTTTAGGGTTTAGGGTTTAGGGTTTAGGGTTTAGGGTTTAGGGTTTAGGGTTTAGGGTGCCCCAAGTGTGAGGCAGGACACTGCACGATGATCTGGTTTGCACTTCGGCGGTGGCCTAGATCTCATGACCCCTTTCTTTGTGGTACTTTACCGTAACTTTAGATCCTTACCTTTTTGGGTTTATTGGGTTTCTTAGTAAGGCAGCTAAAAGTTTAATTTATAGCTACCCTCCTAAGTGCAGCCAAGCTTCGAGTCGTCTCTGACGGTGCATTCAGGGCCTGTCAGTGCTCAAAGAACCATCTGGTTGAGGAGGGTTCATGTTCTTCCACCCCCCGAACCATGATAATGCAAGAAGCCAATACATGTTTGCAAAAACAGGACCATGAGTCAGTGAACTCTAGCCATGTGATCCCGAAGTACCTGGATAGGAGCTGTTTGGCTCCTTGAAGGTTTCGTATAGCAGCGCATGGCAGCAGAGCCTGGCATGTTCCGGCATGTGGGGGTTCAGGGGACTCCTAAAATAGATCCCGAATAGTTTTATCCCCTTATCATAAGGACCCCAATAAGGTACCCCCCCCCCCCCCCCAATTTCGGAAACCGCCGTGTGAGCACGTAGCCTTGCAGGGGAAGGGTATTGTAACCGTGGGTGCCTTTTTTCTGCTGCAGATTATGCTGCAGACGTCTCGGGTCATGCTGTGTTGCAGCATGCCCTAGTAGCTGATGTAGTAGTAACATAGGAGTATATAAGAGTAGACAGTAGTATGCAATAGTATATTGTAGTATATTGTAGTATATTGTAGTATATTGTAGTATATTGTAGTAGTTTTGTAGTATATAGTAGTTAGTAGTAATAGTAGTATATAGGTAGTGTCGCGGGGGCATCTTCCATCTGCGCCCCCGCAATGAAGATCACGGGGGTCTCTGGGGCGACCATCCTGGAGCTCGATGAGGGCGAGACGAAGGTCATGGAAGAAGGCGGCCAGCTCGTGATGGCCCTAAAGGACGGACCTTTAACCGTTTTGGTTATATAGAATCCTGCTCTCTCTCTCTCTATATATATAGGACCTTTTTGGTTATATAGAATCCTGCACTCTCTCTCTCTCTCTCCCTATATATATATATATGTATGTATGTATGTATGTATGTATGTATATATGTATATATATATATATAGGTAGGGTATCAAGCCCCTAAGCCTTAAAGGACCGGCTCTGGGCCTTGGGCTACCCGAAGTTGTGCCAGAAACTCTTCGCCCTGGATGGGACGGATGAGCTGGAGGACGATGAGGGGTTTAGGGTTTAGGGTTTAGGGTTTAGGGTTTAGGGTTTAGGGTTTAGGGTTTAGGGTTTAGGGTTTAGGGTTTAGGGGTAGGACGATGAGCCCGTGAAGCCCATGGACCTGCTCCTGGTGATGATGACCTCCTGCCCTTCGGACAAGAAGTTCATGTCTGCTTGCTCCAAGAATCAGACGGGCAAAGTGGAGAAGATGCTTCTGAAGGGGCAGGATCCATGTACACGACATCCGGATCCTTTGTCATACTGGGGTAGCATGTTAACATTTCCAAGGGTTACTTAAACTCAACAAGGAATAGACATTTAGCTCTTGTTATATCCTATCCCAACCATGAACTAGGATCGCCAGAAGTCGGCGATCCACGCTGCAGCTGCCAGAGGACACGTCCAAGTCGTCCAACTGCTTGTCCCTCAGGAGCTGAGTTGGCACAAGCTTTACAACCCTTTAACTCTTGATTTTTTTTGGGGTAACCCCCTGAAAACAAGTTCAAAGGTTCACACCTTTGTGACCTTCCTCTCCCCTAAACCCTAAACCCTAAACCCTAAACCCTAAACCCTAAACCCTAAACCCTAAACCCTAAACCCTAAACCCTAAACCCTAAACCCTAAACCCAAAACCCTAAACCCTAAACCCTAACCCCTAAACCTAAACCCTAAACCCTAAACCCTAAACCCTAAACCCTAAACCCTAAACCCTAAACCCTAAACCCTAAACCCTAAACCCTAAACCCTAAACCCTTAGAAGAGATCTCCAGGTGGAGGCAAGAGCCAACCTGGAGGCCACCGACGCGCACCTTGGGGAGACCAACTGAACCCGAACATTGGGGGCCCAATTGCCCTCGTGCTACGATAGTAGGAACTCTTAAGGTGTATGAACCCTAGACTGCTCTACTAGAGTAATTCCTGTTTAGGTATGATGATTCCGAAGCTCGTTTAGGGGTTCGTTTTGGTCCCCCCCAAGGCACGGCTCCACGGCTTTACACCTGGCTGCGCGCCAGCGAGGCCTGCGCCATTGGCTGTGCCACTGGAGCGTGGTGCAGGTCTTGATCGAAGCAAGGGCCAGGTTGCTGGGATGCGCAGTACATGGTCGCGGTGGTGGTGGTGGTGGTGGTGGTGGTGACGGCGGTGGTGGTGGTGGTGCTTGTGGTGGCAGTGGTAGTGGTGGTGGTAGTGGTCGTGGTGGTGGTCGTGGTGGTGGTCGTGGTAGCGGTCGTGGTAGCGGTCGTGGTCGTGGTCGTCGTGGTCGTGGTCGTCGTGGTCGCGGTCGTCGTGGTCGCGGTCGTCGTGGTCGTGGTCGTCGTGGTCGTGGTCGTCGTCGTGGTCGTCGTCGTGGTCGTGGTCGTGGTCGTGGTCGTGGTGGTGGTCGTGGTCGTGGTCGTGGTCGTGGTCGTCGTCGTCATCATCGTCGTCATCATCGTCGTCGTCGTCCTAGTACCCTTATTCCCCTTTTCTTGCAGGGTAAGGATATGCCTCATATTCGGCTTCATGAGAACCAAAGAAAGGCACCCTCTTCTTCCTACAGGGTTGCTGGGCAACCTAGGTTGGAAGCGACGGAGTCGCGCGGCTTGACAGCATTGCACTTGGCAGCTTGCACGGGCCGCTTGGAAATCGTCCGCCTGTTGGTGGAGGCTGGGGCCAACAAGGAGGCCACAGACCCAACTGGTATCACAGCTTTACAGCTGGCGCAGTTTGTAGGTCGCAGGGAAGTGGTGAGATTCCTGTCCCCAGCAGCCATTGCAGATGCAGAGGCAGTAGAGATAAATAGTCTCACGCCTGAGCATCCGAGCAAGCGACGCAGGCTTTGAGAGAAGATGCAGCGTTCCTGTGCAGTGGTTGGGGTGGGGTACCGCCAATAAACGGCATGTTGCTGCTGGGAGGGAGCACGGCTACTCTAGGAGCCTGACTTCTTTATGAACTAACCACCCCAAACCCTAAACCCTAAACCCTAAACCCTAAACCCTAAACCCTAAACCCTAAACCCGAAACCCTGATGCGGCTGGAATACGTTCGGGACCCAGAATCGACTTCTTCCCATTCCCAAAAAAACGGAGCCCGGTGTCTTTCCAGGACCAGGAGTGGCCCTCATTCTCCCCTTCATGCAAGAATCGGGATGAATTTGGAGGACGCGCCTCTCAACATCCTTCAACCCTCAACCCTCATTCCGGGGGTTTGGTCTTTAGGCTTTAGGGTTCAGAGTGAAACACTAAGCTCTGATCATACCCCCCAACCCAGGCAACAACCAAGTCAGCGCATCACTCCTTGTCGGGGCCTTAACCTGCTTCAAGGTGGGCTCAGGGTTCGCATGAGCGGTTGGGTTTAATGACGGGGTTTAGGGTTGAGCTGAAGAGTTCTTTGTTGCCGAGTCCTAAAGCCTAAAGCCTAAGCCCTAAACCCCCAAGCCTTAACGCCAAACCCTAAACCCTAAACCCTAAACCCTAAACCCTAAACCCTAAACCCTAAACCCTAAACCCTAAACCCTAAACCCTAAACCCTAAACCCTAAACCCTAAACCCTAACCTAAACCCTAAACCCTAAACCCTAAACCCTAAACCCTAAACCCTAAACCCTAAACCCTAAACCCTAAACCCTAAACCCTAAACCCTAAACCCTAAACCCTAAACCCTAAACCCCTCTGCAGCCCCCCCAACAGTCGCCCCTAAGCCCACCAGTGCCGGCAGGGGCGGGTCGAGAACATTCAAGACCCCAAGCCATGACCCCCACCGAGCCCTCATTTTCTTTCCTTGTCTTTTGGGGACTAGTTTGCCTTGCCTGGTCACACCAAGACGGGGGTTCCCTTCTCTATTGTTCCTCAGTTACTGGGGAAGCCACTTCTGCAGGAACTGGCACTCTCGCGAGCGCGCACTCCATCTCACTATGCAGAACAACAAGGTACTGTAGCTCAGCAATCAGGACAGACTTGCCCGTCGACAACGCACCCACAAACATCTTCTCCCTGACAAGTCGAGGAGCGGAGGCTCTATCTTGAGACAACCCTACGCCTAAATCCTGAACCCTCAACTGCAACCACGAACCTTTGGCTCCTTTGCAGCGAAGGTGATTGCCAGCTACCTCTTCCGGCAGTGGACGCAGACGGCGCTCCCGCCCTACTGGGGGGCTTTGGCACGGGCTGTGGCTGCGTGGCCGCAAAGCTCCAAGGGCTCTGTGGGTTTCTGGGGGGTTTCCGAAAATAGGGGTACCCTTTTTTGGGGTTCCTTTAAAGGGAATAAGTCGTATTTTCGGGTATTTAAGGGGTACCCCGATTTTCGGATATCCCCATATCCCAAAATGGGGTAGACAGGTAGACTTAACACACCCCCCAACATGCTGGAATCCCTCGAAGCAAGGCGCAATAGAAGAGACATGGGACTCTGAGTTTTGCTGCCGACACAATGTTTGTGTACACCTTCTATCGTGATGTACCTTTCTAGTGTTGCCCCTTCCTCCAAAGATCTTAAACCCTAAGCCCTAAGCCCTACATAGCCTTAGGGTCCCCGAAATTAAACGCCCGTTGAAGGTTCAATTTTTCAACGAAGGGTAGCTGCAGATATCGCCTCTTAAACCCTTATGCCCCATGTAGCCCTGTTTACTTTTTCAGGTCTGAGACTCATGGGTTTCGAGCGCCGAGGAAAGCTGTAGGGTTTTTGATTTGGGGTTTAGGGTTTAGGGATGTTTAGGGTTTAGGGTTTAGGGTTTAGGATTTAGGGTTTAGGGTTTAGGATTTAGGGTTTAGGGTTTCTTGCTTAGGGTTTAGGGTTTCGGGGCGATGGGAAGGTTCCGTACCTCGGCCACAACTCCGCCTACGTCAGGGGCACCTTGCCGGCACCAGTCGCGAGCTTGACATGCACTGAACCCTAAACCCTAAACCCTAAACCCTAAACCCTAAACCCTAAACCCTAAACCCTAAACCCTAAACCCTAAACTCCTAAACCCTAAACCCTAAACCCTAAACCCTAAACCCTAAACCCTAAACCCTAAACCCTAAACCCTAAACCCTAAACCCTCAACCCTCAACCCTCAACCCTAAACCCTAAACCCTAAACCCTAAACTAAACCGCGCACTCAAGCACTGTCAACTTCAACGTTCCTCTGGGCTGTAAGACCTCAAGAAATGGATTCTTTGAGTGGTTTCGGGTGTAGGGTGCTGCTTTTGTGGGTTTCGGGTTGGGATGTTCCCCCTTATACTAACAGCCCTTAATAGGGATTGTAATAGGGGTGCTATGATCCTTATTGAGGACTGTTAGAATAAGGGAGAGCATCTCAAGTTTCGGGTGTAGGGTGCTGCTTTTGTGGGTTTAGGGCTTCTACGGTTTACGAGCTCACGGGCGTAAGGTGATTGGGTTGCAGTGTGTTGGGGGGGCTTTGGGCTTCAGTTTTATTTTTTTTGCGGGGTGGGGGGGGGGGGGGGGGGGGGGGGGGGGCGGGTGGGGTGGTTTAAGATGCAGATCGGGCTTAGGGCTTAGGGCTTAGGGTTTAGGGTTCGGGCTTAGGGTTTAGGGTTTAGGGTTTAGGGTTTAGGGCGTAGGGTGTAGGGTTTAGGGTTTAGGATTCCTTTGAAGACTCCCCAAAAAGGTACGGCCTGCTGGGGCTTCTTCGAGGTCGTCGCCTCCGCCAAGGCTTCCGGCGCGCTGCGCCCAGGCGAAGACGCGGACCACAGGCCCGGCCCTTAGAAATACTTGTAGATGGATGGGTTTAGGGTTTAGGGTTTAGGGTTTAGGGTTTAGGGTTTAGGGTTTCGGGTTTAGGGTTTCGGGTTTAGGGCAAGCCATGGGTGGTTGTCAAAATTATGGTCACTTTTTGGATCCCTATTGTCATACGGCACCTAATATTTAGGGTACCCCAAAAGGAATCACAATTGTGACAACCACCCAGATGGATCCTAAACCCCTATAGAAGCCCCTAAACCCCTGGAAGCCCCAAAAGCCTCCTAAGTTCCCTACAGCTCTAAACCCTAAACCCTAAACCCTAAACCCTAAACCCTAAACCCTAAACCCTAAACCCTAAACCCCAAGCCCCTAATCCCTACAAGCCCCCTTAACGCAGGATCCTGGACGAGCTGCACGGCTTCCTTGCCTCGAACCGCGAGTGCCAGAAGATGCGCAGGCAGCAAGAAATCTATTTTTTTTATTTGGGTGGTTTTTGAGGTTTTTTTAGGTGGTTTTAAGGGTGTTTTGGGGTGGTTTTAACTTTTTTTTGGTGTGGCTTTGAGGGTTTTTTGGGTGGTTTCAAGGGTGCTTTTTGGGTGGCTTTTAAGGGTTTGGGAGGTTATTAAACACGGTTAAGGTCTTCATTTTTTTTGAGAGGGGCTTGCGGGTTGGAGGGTTTAGTTTTGTTTGTCGAGCCTGCTTTGGTTGGATTTTGGAGTTCGGGGGTTGTTAATCAGTATTGCTTAGTGATTTATAGAGCCTTAAGAACTTTAAGAACTTTGGGGTTTAGGGTAAGCTTGGGTTTGGAGCTTCTTGAGGAATCCAGGGCTTCGGGACTCCACTGGGGTTCAAGATGTCACCTCCATGGGAGGAACCGCGCCCAACCTCCAAACCCGGATAGGGATTAGGGCCATTAGGGTAAACCCTAAACCACTAAAACCCTAAACCACTAAACCTTAAAACCCTGAAACCCTAAAACCGTAAAACCTAAAACCCTAAACCCAAAGACCTTAAAACCCCTAAGCCCCCCAACCCTAAGTGCTTAGCCACCCCAAAACCCCTCATCACCCCTCTAGCCTCATAAAACGCCTCAAGAGGCTCCTAAGAAGCCCCTTAAAGACCCCAAACCCCAAACCCCAAACCCCAAACCCCAAACCCCAAACCCCGAACCCCAAACCCCAAACCCCAAACCCCAAACCCCAAACCCCAAACCCCAAAACCCAAACCCCAAACCCCAAACCCCAAACCCCAAACCCCAAACCCCAAACCCCAAACCCCAAACCCCAAACCCTAAACCCTAAACCCTAAACCCGAAGCCCAAAGCCCTAAACCCCTTCAAAGCCCCCCTCCTCCCCCATCAAAAGGCGGCTCAAGCCGGTCTTCTTGCAGTTCGACACCACGAAGTCACTGGGGCCGCGCCAAGCAAAGGGCTGAGGGCTGAGGAGTTTTAAGGTTGAGGGTTTAGGGTCTAGAGTGCTTTTGTTTGTTTGTTTGTTTGTTTGTTTGTTTGTTTGTTTGTTTGTTTGTTTGCTTCTTTGTTTCTTTTGTTTGTGTGATTTGGAGTGTGTGTGTGTGTGTGTGTGTGTGTGTGTCTCTTGCTTCGGGTTGAGGGCTTCGGGTTTGCGGTTGCAACCCTCTGAGCCCGGACATGAGAGGGAGCCGAAGCGCGAAATGAACCTAATCCCCCCCAACCCACGCTGGCTTTATATACACTTATATATATATATATATAAAGAATACAGTATGAACCCCTAAACCTTCAACCCCAACGCCCTTAACCCTAAACCCTTAAACCCTAAACCGTAAACCCTTAAAACCCTAAACCCTAAGCCTTAAACCCTAAACCCTAAACCCTGAACCGGAAAAACCCTAAACCCTAAAACCTTAACCCTAAACCCTAAACCCTAAACCTTAAACGACCATCCATCATAAGGGTGTTGGCTTGATGCGCGCAAGAAAGCAAGGACAGCTCTGGAGGCTCTCACAGAGACCTGCGAGGTCCTCCCCCGCAGCTTGGCCAAAAAGTGGGATATTTAGGGTTTGGGGTTTAGGGTTTCGGGTTTAGGGTTTGGGGATTAGGGTTTAGGGTTTAGGGTTCAGGGTTCAGGGTTTAGGGTTTTTAGGTTTTTAGGGTTTAGGGTTGAGGGTTCAATCTTCATGGAGCTTTCGCGGCCATGCTCTTAAATGTGTTTTCAGCCGCGCAGAGGAACCAGGACTTCCTTTATAAACCCGAACTAGGACCCAGAGAAGGCCCTTATTCCCTTTTTCGGGGTTTAGGTTCCTTTCTAACCCCCTTAAAAAACCAAAAAGGGCACCCTTTTTTATTCCTAGGTTACTCCTGGGTCTAGCGAAAGAAGGATTGGACTTGGTGATTTTTCCTCTGTGGTTCGAAGGTTGCGAGCACTTTTCGGGAAGATGCGGGGTGGCGAACTAGCCTTGATCGGTCTTCAGACCATCGGTTTAGGGTTCAGGGTTTTGGGATTAGGGTTTAGGCTTTAGGCCTTATCGATTAGGGCTTGGGGTTTAGGGTTTAGGGTAACTTACTGAAGAGCGACCCAGCATTTCGGGGTTCAGCGGCTCGATGCTTAACATCTCGAGGCACCACGGATCGCGAGATTCTTCAGCCCCTGAACCTCTTCGCCGATGGCGACTTCAGGTGTGGTCAGGGGGAGGGTGCAGGGTTTAGGGTTTCGGGTCCATTTAGGGTTCAGGGTTTAGGGGTTAGGGCCCATTTAGGGTTTAGGGTTTTTGGTTTAGGGTTTGGGCTTTAGGGTTTCGGGTTTAGGGTTTGTGGCTTGGGGTTGAGGGTCGACGTCCCCAAGCTTTTTGCGTGGGCACCTGCCCTCAACCCTAAACCCCGAAACCCCTAAACCCCTAAACCCCAAACCCCCAAACCCCTAAAGCCCTAAACCCTAAACCCTAAGCTAAGCCCTAAACCCTGCAGGGTCCCTAAACTGAACTGCCAGACCCCTTCAGAGTTCCCGCAAAGCTTTAGGGGGTTTAGGGTTTAGGGTTTAGGGTTTAGGGTTTAGGGTTTAGGGTTTAGGGTTTAGCGTTTCGGGTTTCGGGTTCAGGTGGCTGCTTCGGCGCTCGTGGGGCTTGAGATCGAGTTTGGGGCTGACAGGCTTGAGGGCTTTGTAAACCCTGAACCCTAAACCCTACTCCATAACCCTAAACCCTAAACCCTAAACCCTAACCCCAAACCCTAAGCCCCAAACCCTCCAAGATCCATACTCTTACGGGTTCAGCGCCTCTTGTGCCCCGCAAGGCCTTCGCAGACTTTCCTGGCGCTGCTGAAGGAGGAAGTTGCCAAGGACGCCCCGAACCCCAAAGCCCTGAAACCACGAAAGCTGTGTTCTCTAAGCCGCAAATCTCGTAACCTAACCCTAAACCCTGAACCCTAAACCCTAAACCCTAAACGTTAAACCCTAAAGACCCTAAACCCACAAGCCGAGCTTGCAAACCTTGCTGGTCTTTCGAGGCTTTCGGCTGCATCGGTGACCCCGCCCCCCTGCCCTTGCTCGATGACCCTAAACTGAAACCCTGAATCCTAGACCCTAAACCCTAAACCCTTAACCCTAAACCCTAAACCCTAAACCCTAAACAGCATTTCGAGCTGTCCGAAATCATGCTTGACTCCTCAAAAAGACGCATGCCACTCCATGTACCAGCTGCTAGACCCCCCGAGAGCCCTCAATTCACCCTAAGCCCCAAAAGCCGCAGGCCCTAAAGCACAAACAAGGGTGTAGGGTTCAGGGTTTAGGGTTTAGGGTTTAGGGTTTAGGGTTTAGTTAGGGAGAAGATGAAGTTAGGATGTTCCCCTTAATCCTAACAGTCCTCAATGAGAAATGTTCCCCCTTGTACCTACCAGCCCTTGAAGGCCCAATAGGGTTTGGGGGGTAGGGTTATGGTTTAGGGTTTAGGGTTTAGGGTTTAGGGTTTAGGGTACGCCAAATCCTACAGCCCCCTTGGAGCTCTACTGCTCGAGAGCCATGTCGCTGCCAGGAGATGGACGACATCTTCGATGCGGAGGATTCTTAGGGTTTGGGGTCTTTGGCCTGTTCAGTTTAGGGTCTAAGGTTTAGGGTTTAGGGTTTAGGGTTCAGGGTTTAGAGTTTTGGGTTTCAGGTTTCAGGGTTTGAGGCTTTCTTTGTTGGTTTTGGGTTTTCAGGGTTTGGGGTCTAGGTGAATGCAGAGCGAGCTAGACAGCGCCAGGAAATTCGTGTTTTTTTTTGTTGCGTACCCGCCCAGCAAGATGCACCCAGTGTTGACATGAGCGCGGGGGCTATCATCGTCTCTTCACTCTCCAGAAAGCCTCCATGCTTCAAATGGAGCACCTCCTGAAGCCAAACGACTGGGGGACTCGGTTCTGCTCCCGTGTTTTGCGTGACAGCGCAACCGCGAAGCCAATTGCGTCGTGGGTTTCGTATATCAGCCAAGACCAGCTCCGCAACGACAAAGAGACCCTAAACCCTCAGCCCTAAACCCTAAACCCCAAACCCCAAACCCTAAGCCCTAAACCCTAAACCCTAAACCCTAAACCCTAAGCCCTAAACCCTAAACCCTAAACCCTAAACCTCAAGCACAGCAAAAAGCAGAAGGAACCTCAGGAGCCTCCTCGAGCGTGGGGAATCGAGCCAGCTGCGACCCTCCTGCCCACACCACAAGACTTGAGCTTCGCTTTCAAGCCAAGGCTTAAGGGGTTTAGGGTTTAGGGTTTAGGGTTTAGGGGTTTAGGGGTTTAGCGTTTAGAGGGCTCCTCGAGGCCGCGTTGTGACTCTTCAGGACTCTGGAAATTGGTCCCAAGATACAGGCCCGCTCACGGACTAAACCCTAAACCCTAGACCCTAACCCCTAGACCCTAAGCCCCAAACCCTAAACCCTAAACCCTAAACCCTAAACCCTAAACCCTAAACCCTAAACCCTAAACCCTGAACCCTGAACCCTGAACCCTGAACCCTGAACCCTGAAACCTGAACCCTGAACCCTGAACCCTGAACCCTGAACCCTGAACCCTGAACCCTAAACCCTAACCCTAATTAGTTTCTGGCAGTGAACCTCCAGCTCCGAGGGGAATTAGGGGGCTTATAGGTACAGTCATAAATGAGGTTATACGTGCCCTAAGCCCTAAATCCTAAACCCTAAAACCCGAAACTTAAAAAACCCTAAACCCAAAAAATCCTAAACCAAACCCTAAAAACCCGAAAGCCCCTAAAAACCCTAAAGCCCCTAGACCATGAACCTCCAAGTAACTTAGCAATGTGCATTCAAAGCCCTCAACACCTGTAACCCAGGGTTCCCCCTGATAGTCCCCACTTCTCCCTAAGCTTCCCTGAGGTTCCCTAGGTGCCTACCCCCCATGAACCTCCCTCCCTTAAGAACCCTAGAACCTAGCCCTAAACCCTAAACCCTAAACCCTAAACCCTAAACCCTAAACCCTAAACCCTGAACCCTAAACCCTAAACCCCAAACCCCAAACCCCAAACCCCAAACCCCAAACCCTAAGCCAGCCCCCAAACTTCGAACCCTTGGCCGTGATCTACGTAGGTTTCCATGGCGAATACCCAAAAGTCCCAATAGAAAATCAGGCACCCCAAGCCCTAAACCCAAAGTTCTAAACCTTAGCCCTTAACCCTAAACCCTAAACCCTAGCCCTAAACCCTAAACCCTAAACCCTAAACCCTAAACCCTAAACCCTAAACCCTAAGTCCCTAAACCCTAAACCCTAAACCCTAGGCCCGAAGCCCTCGCGATCCGCCGGCAGGACTGCAGCCAGTACGCCTCAGGATCTGAGCACTGGGAGGCGCTTAGGGTTTGGGGTTTAGGGTTTGGGGTTTAGGGTTTGGGGTTTAGGGTTTGGGGTTTAGGGTTTGGGGTTTCAGAGTCTAGGGTTTAGGGTTAGAGTTTAGGGTTTCACAAAGGTTCTTGATTCTGGGCATTTTCCAAAACTTCGGTACCCCCTACTATGCCCCCCCCGCCCCCCTCCCACACCCCGCAAAATACGTCTACCTTGGTTACATGAACCCCTATTTTGGGAAGCCGCCTCGCAAGCAGGTACCTGAACGGGGACCAGGTGCTGCTTAGGTTTCCTTAAGCAAAGGGTGTTCTTTAGCTTCGGTTTTCTCAGGAACCTTTCTAGGGTTAGAGAAGACTTTCGTGGCATGCAGAGCATGCCGCCTGGATTGTCACGGTCTCAGCACCCGCATGGCAAAAAGAACGACCCAGAGGTTAAGCTTTAGGGCTTTTGGTGGTTTAGGGTTTAGGGTTTAGGGTTTAGGGTTATTGTCTTCAGTTGTCTTTTTTCTACACTTGTCTGGGCGACTCCCACTCAGGAAAATGGGGTCAGTACTGGACTGTCGGTCCTTGAAGCTTTATGAGTACTTAAATGTGGGGTAGCTGGAGTTATGAACCTTGTATAACCCTAGCTGACCCGACTTAGATGTACCCTCGAACCTGCAAGACCCTAAACCCTAAACCCTAAACCCGAAACCCTAAACCCTAAACCCTAAACCCCTAGGGTTAGGTGGGGCTTCTTGGGCAGGAGGCGCAGCGATGTGCTCTTCGTGCTGCACAGGCTGCACAGGCTGCACAAGGCGCCGCCCGCTGATGCGGTTAGGGTTTAGGGTTTAGGGTTTGGGGTTTAGGGTTTGGGGTTTGGGGTTTGGGGTTTGGGGTTTAGGTTCAAATCCCTCAGCCCTAAACACAAAACACCTTAACGGGGGTTGAGTGGCCTCTAGACCATAAGCCATCGCCCGTACTTAGTGTAAATCTAGGCTGTCTTTGGAATGGGGCTGAGACTTTAGTCTAGTTGGCTACATATTTAGAGGGCCCCGAGAGCTAAGAGGTGCTCAGAACAGTTGAGAAATGTTTCAAAGACTGGGTTTCAACTCGGTATAACCTGCTTAGCCATCCTCGTAAAACATCATAACCCTGAACCCTGCAGACCTAAACCCTACACCCTCCAGACCCTAAACGCTTTAGACCCAACCCTACAGACCCTAAAGCTATAGACGCTGAACCCTGAACCCTAAACCCTAAGCCCTAAGCCTAAGCCCTCAGCCCTAAGCCCTAAGCCCTAAACCCTAAGCCCTAAACCCTAAACCCTAAACCCTAAACCCTAAACCCTAAACCCTAAACCCTAAACCCTAAACCCTAAACCCTAAACCCTAAACCCCAAACCCCTGAGGCGCGCCCGGAGGCCCTGCGCCCGAGGCCGAAGCCGCGGCGGCGGGCGGCGCCTCAGGGCTGCGCCTCGGCCTTTTTGTGGTTTTCTTTGGGGGTTTAGGGTTTAGGGTTTAGCAGGCGGGTTCAGTTGCAAGGGTGTGTTTTGGAAGGTTGCAGTGCTTACTGAGGCCCGGACGTGACCTGCATCACATGGAAATGGTTTTAAATGCTGTTATTTGCAGGTGTTTACGATGCAGTCACTGCGTACCTTCTCTTTGCCAACATACCATGGATGCTACTCTGGATGACGGAACGCGCCAGGCGCGTTCCGTAACAGCCTCTTCCTCGTTTTTGCTTGTCTTCTGGGGTTGGGGGGTTTGGAGGGTTGGGGCGGGGGGGGGGGGGGTGGGGGGGGGGGGGGGGGGGGGGGGGGGGGGGGGGTAGTTGCCTCTTTCATCTGGCTCCGCGTGCAAGTGCCATGTTCAGGTCTGAAAGGTACGCACACGAGCCGCAAGATCATGTGGTAAAGGAGGCCATGTGGACAAAACACCAAAACGTTGTTCGATCAAAACTTGGTGCCGCCGTAAGCTGCAAGGGCTCCGGCGCACTCGGCCAAAGAAACCCAAGGTATCGCACCAGACCGATCCTCATCAAACATAGCAAGAAGGGCGACATTCACGGACACAGACGGCATGGAGACGAGCACGTCAAAGTGAGCCCGCAGGTCGTTGCCTGCGAGCCGCTCCAAATGATGCAGAGCCGCAGGCAAGCGACTGCCGATGCATTGACAAAGCCAACCAACGCAGGGACGACATGGAAGATTCAGCCCTGTCCCGCTACAATGCTTACATTCTCCTGACCAAACAGGATTCAGCCCTGTCACGCAAAAATGCCAACATTACTATCCTGACCAGACAACATGGAGACATCAACAACAGTGACTGGTGTTCAAGCCACCCAAAACCTGATTCTCCTGCCAAAGCCGAAAATCGCATACACTGCAAATAACGACACACCCGACACTTTGCACCACACTTGGAAGTGAACCCGCAGGGAGGGTTTAGGGTTTAGGGTTTAGGGTTTAGGGTTTAGGGTTTAGGGTTTAGGGTTTAGGTTCAGGGTATAGGGGGGTTTAGGGTTTAGGGAATTTAGAATCTAGGGTGAGGGTTCAGGGTTTAGGGGGTTTATGGGGTTTAGGGTGTTTAGGGGGGTTTAGGGCTTAACTTAGGGTTTAGGGGGTTTAGGGTTTACGGCTTCGGGTTTAGGGCGGTTAGGGCGTTTAGGGCGTTTAGGGCGTTTAGGGCGTTTTCGAAATCATGGTCCCTTCTTTGTATGCTATGCATCTTAAGGCCCCGTATCATACGAATCATACTCGGACCTCTCAAGGGTTTGGGGTTTAGGGTTTAGGGTTTAGGATTCAGGGGGTTGTGTAGGGTTGACGGTGACTATGGAGGGTTGAGGGCTTCGGGTTTTGGGTTTAGGGTAGTGACTGTACTGTAGGGTTTCTAGTGACTACACGGTTTGGGAAGCTTGGGGACACAGACACTTGGAGCAAGCGTCCTCCTGAAAAAGACTCCTGAACACGAATTCCCTTGCTGCACATCCCAAAGCAGATCAAGAACAGGCACGAACCCCTAGACCCCAAAGCCTAAGCCCCAAACCCTAACCCCTGAACCCTCACAACCCCAAACCCTAAACCCGGTTCGACGTCGTGGTCCCTCTCAAACCCTAAACCCTAAACCCTAAACCCTGAACCCCCCAAACCGCGGAGGCAGCGGAAGTTCATTCCGCCGGCGCCGCCGCGCCTGCCCGACGACGCGGTCACCACGGGCGGAGGCGGCCCAGGGCTCCCTCAAAACACAGGGGTTTAAAGGTTCAGGGTTTTTTGGGGTTTCAAAGCAAATTTGTAGCATAGGCTCCTGTTTATACCCCTTTAAGAGGACCCCCAAAAAGACACCCTCCGTTTCCCTTTGCAAACTAGACTAACCCCCCAAAACCCTATTCTAATTATTAAGGCCCCTACATTAAACCCTTCAAAGACTTCGGAGACCCTACTTGAAGGTTCATGGTACTTACTAACCAATTGTAATTGTACTTATAACCCTACTTATAAGTGGGATAACCCCTATAAGGCCCTTTAGGGGTATTATAAGTAGGGTTATAAGTACAGTTATACTTGGTTAGTAAGCACCATGAACCTCCAAGTAGAAACCTTAATAAAGAGCCCAAAGCCTTCCACAGCCCTCAACACACAATTTTCGGTATTCATAAGGCCGTCTTCCCTCTGCTGGCCGGCCGCCCGAAGAACCTAAAGCCTCAAAGAACCATGTTATAACCTCCGGAGACCCCAAACCCACAAACCCTTTAGATCTTAAGCTGCAAGCCTCAAGCTCAAAGCCCCTTCTTGAGACTTCAAGCCCTTTTAAGACCCTGAACCCTCAAAACCCTAAACTCCAAAGCCCGCAATCCTAAACCCTAAATCCTAAATCCTAAACCCTAAACCGTAAACCGTAAACCCTAAACCCTAAACCCTAAACCCTAAACCCTAAACCCTAAACCCTAAACCCTAAACCCTAAACCCTAAACCCTAAACCCTAAGCCCTAAACCCTAAATCCTAAACCCTAAACCCTAAACCCTAAACCCCTACGTAAAGTTTGAGGCCCCTGGGCCCTGAAGCCCTGAATCTGGGCAGGACAAGCTCCCCGGGCGCCGCTGGTGGTGGTGGCATCACTGGAAGATCGGCTGCAGCTGTCTTGGGGATGCTGAGTGCTTTAAGTATTATAAATAAATATAAATAAATATATATATATATATATATATATATTGTTTTCTTTTATTGTTATCATAATAATAGTTATTATTATTAGTATTACTAATATTATTAATGTTATGATCATGATTTTGATTATGATTATGATTCTGATTATGATTATGATTATGATTAGGATTATGATTATGACGATGAGTATTATTATTATTATCATCATCTGTTTGTTTTGGTGGTGGGGTGGTTTCGGGGGGGGGGGGGGGGTTGGCGCTTCAGGAGTTTAGAGGGTTTCGGGTGGGTGGGGGAACAACTGTTAGGGAAGTTGGGCTGGGGGTTTGGGTTTAGGGGTTTGGGGTGCGATCACCGCTGACGCACAACCTTGCACCGCAGAAACCCTAAACCCTAAACCCTAAACCCTAAACCCTAAACCCTAAACCCTAAACCCTAAACCCTAAACCCTAAACCCTAAACCCTAAACCCTAAACCCTAAACCCTAAACATTAAACCCTAAACCCTAAACCCTAAACATTAAATCCTAAATCCTAAACCCTAAACCCTGAACCCTGAACCCTGAACCCTAAACCGTCAGACATCCCGAGGTGGACAAGCTGCCCAACATGGCGGGCCTGTGCCGAACCTGCGAGGTGGCGCAGAGCAGGGTTTAGGGTTTAGGGTTTAGGGTTTAGGGTTTAGGGTTTAGGGTTTAGGGTTTAGGGTTTAGGGTTTAGGGTTTAGGGTTTAGGGTTTAGGGTTTAGGGTTTAGGGTTTAGGGTTTAGGGTTTAGGGTTTAGGTTAGGGTTTAGGGTTTAGGGTTTAGGGTTTAGGGTTTAGGGTTTAGGGTTTAGGGTTTAGGGTTTAGGGTTTAGGCTTTAGGCTTTAGGGTGTAGGGTGTAGGGTGTAGACTTTAGGGTTCAGGGTATAGGGTTCGGGGTTTAGGGTTTAGGGTTTGGGCTCTAGAGCTTTAGGGCTTTAGGGCTTTAGAGCTTTAAAGCTGTAGTACTTTAGAGCTTTAGGGCTTAGGACTTTAGGGATTTAGGGCTTTAGGGCTTTAGGGCTTTAGGGCTTAGTGCCTAGGGCTCGGGGGTTAGGGCTTTAGGGCTTTAGGGCTTTAGGGCTTTAGGGCTTTAGGGCTTTAGGGCTTTAGGGCTTTAGGGCTTTAGGGCTTTAGGGCTTTAGGGTTTTAAGGCTTTAAGGCTTTGGGGTGGGTTGGGGTGTGAGGAAGTGCAGGGTCTAGGGCTTTGGGCTTGGGATTCTGGTGCTGTAGCCCTAAACCCTAAACCCTCAACCCTCAACCCTCAACCCTGAACCCTGAACCCTCAACCCTCAACCCTCAACCCTAAACCCTAAACCGAGTGAGCCCGGGGCCGTCGTTCAGCCGAACGACGGAGCTCTCAGTCCCGTAGGCAGCTACCAGGAGCTTGGAGGCCCCTACCGCCGGGAGGCTCCTGCCTGGAAGGCCCGGGACCCTGCCTGGGAGACGACCCCCACTTTCAAGCAAGTGATCCATATCCCCAACGAGGATGCAGCATCGCCAAGGGCGACGGCGGCAGCCAGCCCCAATCCCAAACCCCTGAATTTTTTAGCACTTATTTTAGAAGGCATCAAAAGGCCACCATGCCTCCCAAACAAGGCGAAGGTGGCCCATCCCAACCCTCTGACTTCAGGCCCTTCCAAGCAAGTTTTCCAAATCCCCAACAAGGATGCAGCATCGCCAAAGGCAAAGGCGGCAGCCAACCCCAATCCCAAACCTCTGATTTTTCGGCCCTCCCAGAAGCCCTCGAATGATGGACATCATCCCTTGCAACGCCAAGGGGCTGCGAACTTCAGGGTAATTGATCTGCATCGATTCCGAGCTTCTAAACTCAACCGGTAGAAAAGATAAAAATACCAAAAGCACGACCAGAGTTCAGAAGAACCCTAAACCCCTAGAGGTTGAGGCGAGGGTGGAGCGCCAGCGGGGGTGGGCTTCTGCAGGAAGGGGTGCACGCGCCTGGTGCTTTCAGCACCAGCGCGCCCTCTTACTGAACCCTACACCTCCGACCTTGAAGGCCTAAATCTCGAGCCTTTGAGCCTAAGCCCCCAAGTCACCCGCGCAGGTGTTCTACTGCGAGGCTTTATGCCTACCCAACCTCAAGGCTTGCTGTTAAGGGTTTAGGGTTTAGGGTTTTCGGCCTTTAGGGTTTAGTTTTTCTCCACCGGGCTTCGGACCTCCGCGTTAGGGCGACGTGATTTTGTGTGAAGCTCTCTTGTGTTTTTTTTTGTCTGAGGTTGATTTCCAAGCTTTGGTTTTCTTTTGGGGGTGAAGTTTCAGTTTTGGGAGGTTGAGGCGATGATGGTGTTTGAGGGTTTAAGTCGAAGTTGGCTTGGTGGCTAGTTTGGGTTTAGGCTCTTTTTGATTTCCTTCGCGGGGTTGTCGTGAAGGAACCTACTATCTAAAAAGGACGGTCAAGTACCAACTGAGTTAAAAACGAATGAAGCATTTATGAGTATCCGATTATAACTTCCACGTGAAACACATCTCACGTTGAGTCTTGAAGTGGACATTGAATTGATGAACCAGACAGTGATGTGTTTTGCAATTCCAAAGACCAATTTATCGAAATATTTGGAATCACAAATTCCCACGACAATTTGTTCATTGTTGCTACAATTTGTGATATCAAAGTGAAGGAAAAGAAAAATGAGACTGTGTGCTCGTGATGTTTGAATCGAGTGTGTCTATGTGTCCGTATGAACTTCAATTGTGGTCTGTGCCAGGCGTGTATTATATGTTGATTACTTTTCACAGTTGTTACTGTTTTACAAATCACAGCCTTTGGAGTTCGCTCTGCTTCACTTTATGTTTGCCATTGGCATGTTGTGTCTTAAGTTGCCAAAATATAGGTGTTCCCCAAAACGGGGTGCCCCATTTTATACCAAAATATGTAGTATGACCTCCTTGCAAAGGCCCCCCCCCCCCCCCCAAGACAAAAAAAGTGCCCTGATTTTGGGAACTCCGAGAAATTGGCTGCGAATCCTCAACAGAACACACGACTGGGTTGCAGTCTCTAAAACACAGGGGCCCCAAATTTGTTCAGGGTTCAGGGTTCAGGGTTCAGGGTTTAGGGTTTAGGGTTTAGGGTTTAGGGTTTATGGTTCAGGGTTTAGGGGGTTCATAGGCTTCAATGGTCTAATGTCTTGACGCTGATTCAGGGTTTAGGATCCAAACCCCAAACCCCAAACCCCGGACCCCAGACCCCGGACCCCAGACCCCAGACCCCAGACCCCAGACCCCAGACCCCACACCCCAAACCCCAAACCCTTAGCCCTAAACCCTAAACCCTTAACCCTAAACCCCAAACTCTAAACCCTAAACCTTGCAGGTCGTCACGGAGCAGGCCTTCCAGTCCATCTCCGTCACAGCCGAGAAGTGGCTTCCGCTGCGCGGGGTAGGGAGGCCCAGAATGAAAGGGTTTAGGGTTTAGGGTTTAGGGTTTAGGGTTTAGGGTTTAGGGTTTAGGGTTTAGGGTTTAGGGCTTATTGTTTAGGGTTCAGGGTTTATTGTTTAGGGTTTAGGGTTTAGGGTTCAACGTTTAGGGTTCAACGTTTAGGGTTTTGAATCAGGGGGGTTTTTAGAACTCTGTTTTTTGTCAGGGTTTCGGGCGCTTCTCTGAATCACGGCCCCTTTAGGGTACTTTAAGGAGCCTGAACTCTGAACCCTAAGTACTAGCTCCTCAAGCCTAATTTTTACATCCCAAACATTAGGTCCTACATCCCGAGCGTCTGAAATCATGCCCTGACTTGCCCCATCAGTATACATAGCACAGTGCAGCCTTTCAAAGCAAGCTTACAACTCCAAGCCCGAAATTACCAACATCTCCCCAACCTTGGACCACGTGCCCTACACTAAAGTCACTAAACCACCTCATTTTGGTACATGGACACGCTTTCGCCTTCTGTCATCGTTTGGTCCACAAGGCTCTAATGCCCCCAATGCGTTCAAGAATCTAGGTAGACCAGAATAAATATACATATATATATATAGAGAGAGAGAGTGTGTTAAATGAAAGATGTGCATATGAATGTAATATCTACAGAAAAAGTTCATACACACACACACACCTACCTGTATAGATATGATAAACCCAAATGGGGCAGCGAGACTCTAGAACTTTAACGCGTCAAATCTAAAGCCCAACGCCACGAACATCTTGACTCCTGAGCCCGAAACCCGATACCCCAAACCCCTGAACCCTGAACCCCAAACCCCAAACCCCAAACCCGAAACCCTAAACCCCCAAATCCTGACCCCCTGGTGAGGTCCCGAAAGGCCAGCTCGACGCGCAACTTCGAGAGCTTAGGCAACAAGGCCGAGCGCTGCGGCTTCGGGTTCAGGGTTTAGGGTTTAGGGTTTAGGGTTTAGGGTTTAGGGTTTAGGGTTCAGGGTTTAGGGTTTAGGGTTCGGGGTTTAGGGTTTAGGGTTCAGGGTTTAGGGTTAGGGTTAGGGTTCAAAGTTCAGGGTTTAGGGTTCAGGGCTGCTTGGAGTTAGAGGGCTTCAGGGTGAAGGGCCGAGGTTCACGGATTTGGCGGTGTGGGGTTTGGCGTTGACAGGGGGGTCATGTGGATAAAAAGGGGTTTAGGGTTTAGGGTTTCGGGTTTCGGGTTTGGGGAAGATTCAGCATGACGCTGATGAGTTGTCTGCTCTGGTATTGTGACTCTGTGCTGAGTGCCAAGGCACAAAACACCTCGAGAGTTGGAGGGTTTAGGGTTTAGAGTCTACAGTTTAGTGTACCGATTCGAGTTTTTGTGATTTCGTATGGCCTAGGTGCTTGAGGGTTTAGGGTTTAGGGTTTAAGGTTTAGGGTTTAGGGTTTAGGGGTAGGGTTTAGGGTTTAGGGTTTCTGAAACCCGAGTTCTGAGCAGGCTATGCGTTGGTGGGTGTCGAGCAGACGCACACCAGCGTGCCGCTGGATCAGTGTGGCTTCCAAGTGGGGTTTAGGGTTTAGGGTTTAGGGTTTAGGGTTTAGAGTTTGGGGTTCAGGGCTTAGAGGAGGGTTTTCGGGTTTAGGCTTTAGGGTTCAGGGTTTAGGGTTTAGGGTGTAGATCCCAGATCCTCAAACTTAAGCCCCGTGACCTAAACCTCAACATCGCAAGCCCTGAGACGTTTAGCTTGAGAATTGGACTGTCGAGGCCTTGAGCTAGTGGTTCTTCGCAGGGAATCAGGGAAATTAGGTACCCTACATAATCATTTTCCTCGGTGTATATAGGGGGACAGGGTCACGACTTCCGAAACCCTAGACCCTTAGAGAGTTACGTATATATGTATATATATATATATATATATACATATGTATATATATATATATATAGAGAAAGAGAGAGGGACAAACACAAACCAGGGATTTCTGACGGCCAGGGCAGTGGCGCTGGATGTGAGCCGGCTCACGTTTGCACAGCGACGCACGGAGTAGGGCTCGACATTAGCCCCGGTCCTCCACAAGCCCCGGTTTCTTCAGCTGTCCCCAAGGCGACCCCGAGAATCAGGAGCCGTCGGAAGCGGGCTTCGGGCTCTCTGGCTCCATTGTGTCCGAGCGCGCAACGCTTCCCAGACACGAGGTTCCCGAGAGTGATGCCACAGTCCACGGGCTCACCACTCCACAAGACACCCCGTGTATTTTGGCAAGAGGAGCTGCCAGGCGGCACCATGAGGAGACCCAGGGACTCCAATACCCCTGAATTCCAAGGAATAGACTAGACCTTAAATTATAATAGGGTTCCTTTTTGTGGTGTTATTCTAGTAGGGTTCCCTATATGAATTATATGGTTTCGGGAATAGTCCTTAGTTAAGGAGTAGAAGGGTACCCGACTCCCACATTCCCTACTACTTGGAGGTTCAGGTCATTTGTAACCACAATTGTAACTGTACCTTAGAAACCCCCGAGGTCCCCTAAGTAGGTTTATAGACTTGTGATTGGGTATATAGGTACCCGTGAACCCCCTAAACCCTATCCCGAAACCCTAAACCCTAAACCCTAAACCCCAATTCAGGTTACCCATGAACCTCCAAGTACTGAGAGCCACTAGCGTACGTCTCTCCGGGGCTCGCCTGGGGTTTGGGCCAGAGGCTCGCGTCTGATGTTCTAGGGTTAGGGTTTAGGGTTTAGGGTTTGGGGTTAGGGTTTAGGGTTCAGGGTTTAGGGTTTAGGGTTTGGGTTACCAAGGTTCAAGGTAAACTTTGAGAAAGCCCTGGGAACCCTCCTTGAAGCTTTATGGGTACAGCAATAACTGGGGGGGAGCAATAACTGGGGTTCTAAGCGATTTAGGGTGTAGGGTTTAGGGTTTAGAGTTTAGGGTTTAGGGTTTCGGGTTTAGGGTTTAGGGTTTAGGGTTTGGGGTTTGGGGTTTAGGGTTTAGGGTTTGGGGTCTCTTCACCCCGAAACTCTTAGGTACTTACTTGGAGCTTTACGATAAAAGGGGGTACCTTATTGGGGTTCCTCATTATACTGGAATCCTACTATTTGGCGGTCTATATTGGGGGTCCCCTATTTTCGTAAACCCCCACTTCTCCAATAACCAAGGGAAAAGTGGTTAAACTTTAGTCTTCCCAATCGACAAGGAACCCAAAAAGTTTAAAGACTATGAGGATTCAGGGTTGAGAATTTAGAGTAGAGTTTATCGGGGCTTAGGGTTTAGGGTTGAGGTTTGTAAGGGATAAGGGGTCAGGCCATACTTAGACCCTCACTTTATCATAGTTGAGTAACATTTTAGACCTTTAAGGGTACTTGAACCCATAAGGAATGGACATTTAAATTTTTCATATGATCCGAACCATGAACTAGCTTAGCAATCCACCCCCCAAGTTGCTGTGACCGGCTGCAGTCCAGGTGGAGCTTTGCCGAGCGCACTGCGATTGTCCTAGGCTTCTCTGACGGTGTGCATGTCTTCGTCATGGTGGGGTAACATTTTGCATGTTTAAGAGTACTTAAACTCAATAAGGAATGGAACTTTAAACTTTTGTAATACTATCCCAACCGTGAACTAGACAGGGGGGGGGGGGTCTCGATGGGGTTGAGCTTTGCGCAGCAGGGTTTAGGTGTTTGGGGTACTCTGTGTTTGCAGAGTATGGCTTAGGGTTGAGGCGTAACCCTCTTTGGTTTTGCGGGATGTTTCATATGGATCCGATCTCCAGCTTTGCTATGAAAGCTTCGTTCTGAGGGGCTTGGATGTTGTGGGCTACAACGCATCCCTCAATAGGGCCCTTGTGGAAGCCCTATGCACCTGCCTGAACCCGGATGTTTAGCCTAAACTTGTAAGCCCGAGGAACCCCAAAGGCCCCCAAACGCTACACCCTGTACCCAAAACCCGGATGTTTGCCCATCAGCCCCCCTCAGCCCATAACCCCGAGCCCCCAAACCCTAAACCCTAAACCCTAAACCCTAAACCCTCAACCCTCAACCCTAAACCCTAAACCCTAAACCCTAAACCCTAAACCCTAAACCCTAAACCCTAAACCCTAAACCCTAAACCCGAAGCCCCCTGAGCCAGGTGCAGAGAAGGAGGGCATCGACGCCACTTTGCTGCCCTTGCTGGATGGCTGCGTCGAGATCCCGCAGCAGGGGCAGCTGCGGTCATTGAATGCGCGAGACCGAGATGAATCCCTGAACCCTAAACCCCATAACCCCATAACCCCATAACCCCATAACCCCATAACCCCATAACCCCATGACCCCATAACCCCATAACCCCTAACCCCTATGCGGAGCTGCAGCTGGTATTGTAGAAAGGAGTTGGTGTTGGGAGTTGAAAGGGTCAATGTACCCGGAAATTCTTTTGGCTCAAGAAACCTGGGCAATGCGTCCTACGGAAAAGGTGTGTTTGGTTGTGCCTTGGGTTTTGTCTTTGGTTGTTCCAGGGGAATCAAGGGTTTCTGTTGGGGTTGACTGTTTTGTTCCCTGTCCTCCTTCGGTTGCCCCCCGTAGGTTATGAGCCCAAATTAGGCTTCCTGCGGAATTGGTAAAGATTTTTCGTTTGTTTAGCGCCATGGACATGATGCGGCGTCGCTCTGAGCCTGGACTGTCGCCAACGGCCAATGAAGCCGAAGGAAATCGCGGTGATGGGGGTGATGAACGACAACAAATGGTACAAGCGCTGACAGATGGTAGGGAGGTTGCAATGATACAACCAACGCCTCAGGTGGAAAACGAAGTGGTTCCGGTTCAAGCAGCAAATCCTTTCTGGAGCGAGCGGGCTCAAGAAGAAATGAGACTTAGGCAATCAAGGCCGGCAAGTCTTCCTGCGAGCGGAGGGGATAGAAGTGGTGAAGGTACGAGGAGGCCGCCTTCGCTGCAAGATCTTTTGGGTCAGGAACCTGCACCTGTTGAGAGACCATCGTCAGGCTTAATGGGCCAGATGGAACGAGGTACTATTGGTGGAGTGCAAGCAGACGAAGAGCTCATTCCTGATGTTGGTGGTGAAGAACAAAGTGAAGATATGGCGGTGGTAAAGCGTGCGCTGAAAGAGTTGCTTGTGCAAACAAAGGAGCTGGGGAACAGGTTGCATCGGGTGGAGGAGAAAAGCTATACCTCTGCTGCATCTGGGTCAGCTTCGAGAGCACGGAGCACTGGAGTGGTGGACGCAAACACTGCATATCCTCTAGGAATGACTCCAGAGAGGCAGTACCTGCCAGGACAAGTTTTCTACACGGATGGTATGGGTGGTTTTTGGACTGTGTTGCCTGATGGGACATGGCTGCCTATTGAGGGCTACGACCTGCCAAAGGGTTGTGATCTTCAATCCTTGCCTGGGTCCAGGAAGGGGGATGTTCAAGTGGAGGATGAAAAAGAAGTGCCAATGATGCATGTAGCTGAAGGGAAGAAACCCTCCAGATTGCCTCCATTGAATTACCCCACGGGAGGTCCTGCAAGTGGTGGATATGCAAGTGGACCACCTGGTTTAACACATGTTCCGATTACTTCCTTGCCATCAGGTGCTGATGGTTCTGCCGCACCTGTGGGGAACCAGCCCGGTTTTGTTTCAGCTCGGGAAACTGCAACGCAAGAGAACTCAGCAGGATCGGGTGGATATACAATGGTGGATGATGTTCCGTATCGGTGGAAAATGGTCGCTGGGAAGTTGGAATTAGAAAAGGTTCCGCTCACAGCTGTTCCGCCTGGTATAGGACATGGACTACCTCAAGGGCCTGGTGGTAGGGTCAGTTTACCTCCTGGAGCAGTGGTGCCACGTGGTATGCCAATCATTGGTGATAGTTCTGGAACCGAACGTCCGGAGGCTCTTGGGAAGCATGTGATGAGCCTTCCAACTTTGGCAGACTACACACCAAGCAATCCGACGGCACTGGGTGATTGGATCGCAATGATCGAACCAATGTTGTCTTCGCTGACGGATACAGGAAGAGTGTGGTGGCAATGCGTCTACTCAAAGGCATATCAAGCGTATGCCAAATGGTTGAGTGTTTCTCCGCTGGAAAGGTTGGGCATCAAGGCTGAGCTGGAAGGGCTCAAGGTGGTTCAAACTGTGCATGTTTTGTTGGAGCAGAGAGCGGTGTCTTTACTGCTACAGGCGATTCCGGAGAGATTGAAGACCGAGATCGTTTCCACTCGAATGTTGGGGTCAGTGATGATATTCTACAAATTGCTGACGGTCTACCAACCAGGTGGAGCAAATGAGCGCAGCACAATGTTGAACTTCTTGGTGCAACCATCTCCAGCAACCTCGATCTCAGAGGCCATAAAGGGAGTGCGTTAATGGGCGCAATGGCGTTCCCGATTGAGGGAGTTGAGAGCGGCCGAGCCGGACGCTACCTTGCTTATCAAGGGATTGGATGGTTTATCATCCGCGTTGCTGGCAAAGCACCCTACGGTTCATTTCAGAGTGGCATCCTTTCGGGAGAAATTGGGGGTGGACTACTCGCCGACCTCTGAAACTGCGACAAAACTAGCTGAAATGTTACAGGCAGAGTTTGAACTGCTACTGCATAGTGCTGGTGAACAAGAGGTGAAGCAGGACTCGGACGCCAAGAAAAGGGCCAGGTTAAACAAGGCCCAAAAGGGAACTGGTGACGAGACAGAGGAGGGTGACAAAGGCAAAGGGAAAGGAAAAAGGTACAGCGGAGATGGTGAACGTCCTTTCTGTTGGATATATGGGAAGACCGATGCAGGTTGCAAGTTCGGATCCCGCTGCAAATTTCGCCATGACAAAGACTCCCTTGAGCGAGGAAGATGTTTTGAGTGTGGGGCCGTTGGCCATCTGCAGCCGCAATGTCCATATAAGGATGGTGCAAGTTCCAATGTCCCAAAGGGGGAAAGGGCGGCAAAGGTGCGAAGTGGGGAAATGCCAAAAAGGCAGAGGTAGCTGAAGGGGGAGATGAGACGGCCAATGCGGGATTGGATAAAGGTTCTGCAAGTCCCTCATCGCCATCAACGGCCAATCAGGTCCTTGTTGAAGCGTTAGAAGTGCTGAAATCTATGAAGCTGTCATCGGAACAGTCGGCATCAAGCGGGGATCCCAGTGTTCGAATGTTATGTGGCTCTGGGCTGCTTCAGCAGGAAGGGAGAGTGGCGTTGGTGGATACAGCTGCTACGCATCTTGTGCGGACGCTTTTTCCATGGGAATGTTTACCCGACACTACTGTTATGGTGCAAAGCGCGCTTGGTGGTGTGACAATGAGGATTACAGAGAAAGGGACGTTGATTAGGGAAGACAATGGGCCCCTGATTATCCCTCTCTGGTTGATTTTGGAGTTTGGGGCGAACCTCACTGTGATCAATGGGATGTGTCACGTGGGTGCAAAATCTTCGCTGGACCAGCTCTTGTGGTTTGAACATGGCTGTTTGGTTATGGATTACAAAACAGCTGAAAAAATGGTTTTGCATGCTGAAAGGCAGCGTGCGTCTTGGTCCCATTCTCAATGGAGGAATGGAAGGGCGGACTGTGGAGTCGGTTCGTCTGATGCCACGTTGTTGCCGAAGCAGGGAGAAGGCCGAGGAGTATGCGTTCTACATGTGGCCAGGGTTTCTGACACCAATGAGTGTTCGGGAATGGGCATGTTGGACTCGGGAGCATCACATCCTCTCAGATCACTTCGTCCTGGTGAACAGCTTCCGCAGCAAAAGGTGTTGGTGTCTTTAGCTGTTGGATCTCGGGAGATGTGTATTACCCCAGGTGGGACCCTGGTAACTCCTGAAATGGTAGATCCACTAGTGCCAATTGGCAAAGCGAGCGCCTTGGTTGGTCTCAGAGTTCAGTGGCGTGGTGGCAAGTGCACAGCCTCACATCCTGTTCTGGGGGAACTTCGCGTTCGTGATCTGAATGGGTGCCCTTGTTTAGAAAAGGAGGTGGCGCTTCAGATCATTGATGAAATGGATTGGTGTTCACCAAAGCAAGCTTTGAAGGTGGCACGTATGGTTCAAGGGTGTCCGAATACGGACGACGAGGTGGCTGTAAAAACGTCGTTGCAAAGCGCAGCGCGGACAGCGTCAGCGAATGAGGAGGAGTTCGTCCAGGCATGCTGGAGATTTCTTCGGTGGTATTATGGGGATATACCAGAAAATATGCTGATGGAGCTGTTGCCACGTGGAGATATTGCGGCGTTGCCTTTCAACCGTCATAAAAGGAGACGGCTGGCACGAGCAAAAAGGGTGGTGGTACACCTATTTTCGGGGAAACAAAAATGGCATTTTCCCAGTCGGGATGTGGAGGTACTGGAGCTGGATTTGACAAAAGGCGGTGACCTACATAATTCGAGCGTCTGGAAGTATCTTCTGCATCTGGCGGCTGAAGGAAAGGTGGTTGCTGTGGTTGGAGGACCTCCATGCAGGACAGTGTCAAGGTTGAGAGGTGAAGACGGTGGTCCACCTGTATTACGCCGACGCTGTGGGCCTGAACGGTTGGGGTTAAAAAGTCTTCCTTGGCCACATCAAGAATTAGCTCAAAAGGATGGTGTTTTACTTCTGAAGATGCTTTTCCTATATGACGTGGCGGTGCATTCAAGGTGTGGAACTGCTGAAGTCATCAATGGAAGTTCTGTCTTCTTTGGCATGGAAGCCCTGGGGACCCTGAACTCATAGGGAAAGATTTCTCTCAGAACGGCAAAACGGTCTTGAGTGCTGAGGATCTGGTGGATGGTTCTCAGGAAGGGCTCTCAAGTCCTACCTTCTGGAGTTGGCCAGAGGTGAAAAGCTTTTGTGAGCGTTATGGAATGTACGCTGCACACTTTGATCAAGGAGCGTTGGGACATGCTCTGGTGAAACCTACGACTTTCCTGGTGTCTGATATGGAACTATGGGAATCGTTGGAACAAGTTCGCGTGGTTGTTCCGTGGTCAGCAACATTCGCTTCTACCCTGGAAGAGCGTATTGGACAATCCTCTATATGGGCGCGATGGGCGTTTGGATTGGTTAAAAGAATACGTCACAGGTTGGCACAATGGTTGCATGAGAGCGATGCTGAACGGGAAGCTATGGTGTTAAAAAAAGAAGAACGAGAAGGGACGTTACGGAGGTTGACAGCTGAGGAGCGAGCTTTCCGTGACCATTGCCTAAGGGGGCATATTCCTTTCAGACGTGATTGTCAAATCTGTGTGTCTGCCGCTGGAAAAGAGCGTCGCCATTTGAGGCGG